GTACCGCCGGGGGGGTTTCCCGCAGGGGTTTTTGCCCTCGAGTAGCTGCTGGAGCTGGGTAAGAGCTTCCCCTCAGGGAGTGAGGAGCTGCCGTGGCTGAGACCCCGCTCTCCCGTTCTCGGGAGTGACCGGGAGCGCCGCGGGAGCTAACTCTGGTTTTTCACTGGCTGCTGGCTGCTTTGTGAAAGTGGTGCAGCCTTGTGTGTCACTTCCCTGGCGTTGTAATACGTGGGTTCTTTAAAACAGTATCGAACGTTAAAACTAGGTAGATTGTTTGGGGTTTTTTTTCTGGTAAGGTGTTTTTTCCCTCTTTAAAGGTAAAAGCAGTGTTTGAATTTAAACGAGTAGGATGTCGTTATAAATAGCATAAATCAAAGTTTCCCTAGTCAACATAATATTTATCCTCGCCTCATTTAAAATGTAATGAACGGTATACATATATTTTAGAGACTTTGATAATCACGTATGTTTGATTTTTGGTGTGTTTGTCACCAGGAGCTCAGTGGAGTTTAACCTGCTTGCCTTGCTGTAGATACACAGGTGATGGTTTTATAGGGGGGCAGGTGTGAAAGAATGCTCTTTAAAGAGTTTGGGGTTGTTTGAAACAATAGTGCATGTAACTTGCTGCTGTAAAAAGGCTCCTCTGTGTATTATTTAGGAAAAATGTGATCTTAAGTTGTTTTTTTTTTTCTTTACAGGAACCTCCGATATGTTCCCGAAAGCTCGCAAGACAAAATTATCTCTGATGAAGATGTCTTTGAAACACTACTGAAAATATTTAAAGCTCTGTTCATAAATGACTTCAATAGACAAGCACATATTTTGGCCTTACTTCCAGAAATGAAATGTAGATATCTGGAATTACTGACTGCGGAGCAGAAGCGATCAGAAGTAAATTCATGTAACCGCCAGAGTCAACAGGTGTTTAGTCCAGCAGAAGTTCTGTTTAATACACTAGGGTTCAGTCTTACCCGAGACCAAAGTTCCCTGGTGTCTGCTGGAACTGGAGTCTTTGTTACCAAAGGTTTTGTACCAAAAGGGACAGTTGTATCTATGTATCCTGGTAATGAAATGTTCTTTTTTTTTTAAATTAAGTTAGATGAGATTTCTCACCATATAATTATACAGTGCCAAAGTTCTACACTAATTTTTATTGTATGGGTTTTGTTTGTGTCATTCCTTAACAAAATCACAAATTATGGTGAATGAGAATATTTCTGACCAGAGTTCTTTTGGAAATAGGCAAAACAATATTGGTGGGGTAGTTCTGTTTATAAAAAAAACTTCCAATACTCAAAGTCTGATTTTTCAGCTGCTGGAAAAGTTGTGCCAGTTTGCGTAGATACAAATGGATGGGAGTAATTACAAGTAGATGAACAATACAGTTTAATTCCTTTGGTTTTGGATAAGGATCTGAAAAATAGGGCTTTAAGATCTCCACACAGATCAGCAGCCAAGTCTATGAACTTTTTCAGAGCACAAAAACACAAATTGTAGAATGAAAATAAAACACTCTCTTCTTATGTAAAGCATGTTTGGAACATCAGCACTGCTCTGTTCCTCCTCACTTCTTGGAACTGCATTTGCTTACAGTCCTTAAAAAGATTTGTAATTCTGTCAGCATGGCCAAGCTAGGACAGCTCTGCTGAAATGCTTTGGATTTGTTTCTGTTCCTTCTGTCAATAGAATCATCCCCTGCGTGCAGTCTCTAGCTTGTGCCAGCTTTGCAGGATCAGGACCAGTCCAGGCATGGGGCAGTGGAGCGTGTTTTGCCATGCCGAAGCAGCAGTGTCTGGCCGTTACCATTGAGTTGTAGACTGCCAAATTGTCAAATGACAGTTGCAGGGAATGGGCCTGCAACTTTGCAGCTTGCTAGAAGTTTCAGGCACATGCTACAGGTGAGTTTAGGCTCACTGAGAGTCTCCTCTAGCAGCTCATGTAGCAAAACAAGAGGATAAGCTGTTGAAATGCCTTCCTGTTGCAGTGGAATGAAGGAAACTACAGGGCTGCTGGCTGGGGAAGGGACCCTACGGAGAGAGCAGGTCTGTGCTCTCCTGCCTGTTGTCATTCGGCAGTGAGTGCAGCCTGCCGGCAGGGCCTTCACCCAGCTCCTTGTGAAACTCCAGTGAAGGATTTCTGCAGAGGGTTGCTGAAGGTACACTGGGTGTGAGGGATGCAGGACTGCGATGTCATGAAAAATTGCAAGCCAGTCTGCTGTCACTTTTCTGTCCTTGGAACCCAGGGCAGGTTAAATCCTGTCCGTAGATCTGGGAAATGGTCTGCTGAAATGATTTGTCCGTTCTTGGTTTGGCACATTCTCCTGTATCAAGCAAAATTTCTGATCAGGGTGGTGGAGGAGAGTGTTTCAGGTTCTTTGCTGTCTGTGTGTGTCCTTTGCAAAGTGTTGTGACACGGTAGTAACAACACAGCTTGATGTCGTCAGCTGCGCATTCCTCCGAAGCAGGCCAGCTGGCTGTGATGCTTTATCTGCCTGTCATGTGAATACTGGACACAGGCCTTCTCTTTAATGATTTCCTTCAATGGCTTCTCTCTTTGGGGTGTCTCAGCTTGTGTAGATTTTTTTTTTGCATCCCACAAAGATGTATCTGAAAGCTTGTAGATTTACAAGTGTTAACGTTATAAACTGAGAGAGGAGTTCTCTCCTACCCCATCTGTCTCCTTTGAGTTTCTGTGTGGAGGGGACTGGATGATGTTGTAAGCAAGCCCTTTCTGACAGTTAACTGATTTTCTTCTGAAATAATTGTATCTGTCTTGCAACAGGTACAGTATACAGAAAGCATGAGCCCATCTTTTTCCAGTCCCTTGGCAATCCCTTTATTTTTAGGTGCATAGATGGTATCCTTATTGATGGGAATGATAAAGGACTATCAAGATCAGTGTACAGGTAAGCGGTCAAAAGAAATAGAGGATTGTCAATCAGCTGGTTTAAAACAGTGGTACTAATAGTCTCATTTGCCTGTTGTCTTACCCTGAATTGAGTTATATTTGAATATCCACCTATGTGTGCCTCATTATGCAAACAAAGAAGAGTGAGAGCTGCTGGATGTCATCTGTTGTGTGCTTGTTGTGTTTTCATCTGTAATGCCAGTGAGATGCATTTTGATGTACAGAGACTGTTTCCTGTTCCTGTAAAGAAAATAGTTTTAATATTAGCAGGAAGTAAAAAAATAAAAGTCACTGCTTCTGAGCTGTTAAAATCTGCCTAGTGGATTTAGAAAAAAAGCTCTATATAGACCTGCTAATACTAAAAGGATGAATCTGGTAACTCTGGCTGTGGTCTGCAGATGAGCAGCACTTAAGAAGGGAGCCGTAACCCTTACAATAATCATAATCATCATCATCATCATTATTATCTCATGTTGGAAGGGACCCATATGGATCATCGGGTCAAACTCCCTGCTCCTCGCAGGACTCCCTAAAACCACCATGTTGACTGAGAGCATTGTCCAGACGCTCCTTGAACTCTGGCAGGCTTGGTGCTCTGACCACTTCCCCCGGGCAGCCTGTTCCAGTGACCGACCACCCCTTCCTAATGCCCAGTCTGAACTGCCCCTGATGCAGCAGCCTGGACTGTTTTAGCTTACCTGAAAATACAATTTGTAGCAGTTTGTGTTTAAATGAAGTTGATACTGTAACAAGCCTTTGCATCTTTAGAGATGAACAAGGTGTCTTGACACTTTTGCAGTGGTAATGTTTGATGTTAATTTCTGGAATTGTACGTGGTGGTTTTGTGCAGGTTCTTCCTCCAGGGTCTGAAAGATGCCACACACTACTGGGAGTTCTAAATGTACTTTTTAAAGTACCATCTAGGCGTTGGTCCGCTCACCCCACACTCCAGTGTTGTCCTGTCTCCCAGCTGGGTTGGACAGCTGTGACTGTGCCCAGCGACTGTTGGCATTTCTGCCGGCAGAAGTACAGATAACCTGTGAAGTGAAGGAGCACTGACTCACGTTAACGCTGTCAGTCATTTCAGGTCTTGCAGCAGGAGAGATCAGCTTGGCCCATTTCAAATGAGTGATGAGAGCTGGCTCACAGCTGCCCTGCAAAACCCACTGGCGGTGGGACAGTATGTCAACAACTGCTCACATGGTAAGTTGCCAGGTAAATTTTCCAGACTTGAGTTTGTCTTTATGGATGTAAATTATTTTGGAGCTGTCACAGAGAATCAGATACTGATCTTGGGGGGCAGTAGAGCTGTTTAAAACAAGGTGAGGACTTAATGGGCTAAAGAGTTGCTGAGGCTTTTTGTGGCAGCTGGGTGTTAGAATCCTTCAGCGCAGCAGTGCTTCACATGCCCTTGTGCTTTCCTTGCTGACTCCCCCAGTCTCCCTCCTGGTGTGTAGAATGAAAGGCACATCCCAAATGTGAGGTGGTGGGAAAGGGTATCTGGCAAAGGACTGCTGGATTGAGGCAGTACACAGAGTTGCAGATGAAGTTCCTCAGTATGGTTCCAGCAGGCTTCAGGAGAAAACCATAAGCCCAGTGACATTTACAGTAGGATTCTGTCACTGCTCAGTTTGGACTGTAACGCTTTTTTTAGACTCCTTAGTTTTATGCCCAAAATCTGGGAAACTGTTGGTATGATGTGGCTGTTGGGCATGAAGAGGGCAACTATGTGTTTATCCTGTCTGACACAATATGTGTTGGTCTGAAGGTCTGGGGGAGTAACTAACTCATGGGAATGGTTATGAGATGCAGAAAGTTAAATTGCTGCCATACCTAGCTTCTAAGTGGCTTTCAGAGCCTGTGTTACACGAAAGATGCCCTGCCCCCAAGTAGCATCCAGAAGGGTTGCTGGAGTAGCGAGCCAGGTACTGACTGGCACAGAGACAAAGGGCTGTCCCAAGAAATTGTTTATTCCAGGTCTGACATCCACGTGAAGAAGATTCCATTCTTCTTGCTGGGCAGATGGAGATTTTCTCCCCAGCTGTATTCATGACATATTTCGCCACCAAGAAATATTTTCAAGATTTTTTTTTTTTAACTGTAAAAGCAGATGTTGTATATTAACAACATTTAGCAGTGCTGTAAGCTACCCCTGGTGCTATGCAACATGTGGCCCTTTGTGTACATGTTGATTATCGGGTCATCCTGTCTAACGTGATAAGGATGAATTAAAGCTGCCATAGTTGGTTGTGTATCTCTTGCGTAAATTCAAAGTAGGACTTCGGAGGGGTGTAGTAGCTCCCAACAAAGCCATGGTTTTCAGGTGTGATGAAGCATACGGTACATTTGCAGCAGTACATACGATATTTTTACACATCTCTAAACCCTATCTAATATTTTCTCAGTATCATAGAGACTGTTTTTGTTTGTTTTTTTTCTTATTTCTAGAAAAAGCAGCCAACGTGTGTTATCAGGAGTTTGATGTGCCAGGATATTTTCCAGTAGAACTGAAACAGTATCTTCCAAACATCGTCTACAGCCATGACATAGAGAGGTCAGCAGCGAATCAAAGAGCTCATAGATTTGTACGATACAAAGCATATTGTATGTGTAAAAAAGACAGACATGGTTGAGAAATAGCAGTATTCCGTGTGAAGATGAGTTACACAAAAGTGTGCACCTGTATGGAAGAGTTAGCTCTTTGAATGGACAAGTGATTTACAGGACTATCTGTTCCTTTTTCCACATCTTCGCAAATGAGATCAGCATAGCTCTGAAGACTCAGCTTGACAAGCAGTGGTGACACTATAGTGTGATTCCTCTAAATCTCATAAAGCACTGGTTATATTTTGCTTGTAACTGAGGTTTTTCAGTATGTATGTCAAATGTTAGCGACCCTTAGCCAATCAGAGCCCTTCTAAGGTAGCTGAGATTTAGGCTTCTTACTCTTCTGTTCTCCATGTCTTCTCCTTATGTGAGGAATAAGCGGATGGATTTGCAAGAAGAAACATAAAATGAATTTGTATTGAGACAAGTGAAATACTATGCAGTATAAAGGCCTGTGACTTTTAGTGACACTACACAATTACATCCTCATTATGACCTGCAAATCCACCTCTTCTATAAATTAAAACACTTAGAATCCTTTCTCAGATTTTTGTCTGGAGATGTGTGTAAAGTGACAGTTAGGTGGATATGCAGAAGAAGCAGTATGGACAACAAGGACAGACGGTACACCTGGAAGTGGGTATCCTGTCCTGGGATGTAGTCACAAACAACTGAGGCTGTGCGAATCTGGTCCTGAATTTAACACAGCAAAGAAATTGTGCTTTTGGTCCTGTTGTTGTCTTCAGGAACCAAATAATCCTCTTCATCTAGAGGATGTATAAGGGTTTTAGACCAGATCATCTAGACATTTAGTGTAATTCTGGAGCTATTTTAAAAGTCTGGAATTTGATGGGAGGAAGTTACAGTGCGTATTGGAAAAACAGCTTTTTTGATTAAACTTAGACTTTATTGAGGCAAGGTTAAAGATGCACTTGTAATCTGCAGATAAGTAAATAAATGCTAATAAAAGAAGAGGTAAGACTGAACTTTCAGGAGGCCTGGATGCTGTAGTTGAAGTGTGAAAGTGCAGTGAGCAGAGCTAAGCTAGGGGACCATTTCAGAAGGGGTAAATTTTGCTCTTTTCCTTGGAATCTGTCGAAGAAAATACAGTCAGTCATCAGTTCTCCTAGACAAAGGGTCCCATCTGCTTCTACCTGATATTTACAGTGCTGACAACATAGATAATCTGGTTTCTAAATCTTTTTCTGTCTTGTAAAAGAGTTCTTGGTACTTGTTTCTTCTTGTTGTTTGATTTGTTTCAGAATGGCCTCACGCTAAGTTTTGTAGTAGTAGAGGCTGTTTGGGTTGATGGTGTTCTTCACTTTCACGTGCATCAGCATCAGAAGAGTGCGCTCTCCTTCCTGGAATTGATACTTCAGCTTTAGGGCCTGGTCATTTACTTAAAGGAAGTTTAGAGGGGTCAGTCCCTAAATCCGTAAGAAAACTGTTTGCCAGCCACTGATGTCACCTTGGGGTGTACAGAGATCTCATGCATCCTCGCAGACTGCAGCAGGTCTTTGATGCAGTTGGGAGCTGTGTTTCTGCGTGTTCTTAGGCCAAGGGTGGCTTTAGCCTAGAGGAATTATTTCAGCTCCACGAATTTCACTGTAGCTTCTCCTCCTGTATGTATAGGTGTCTTTTTCCCCGTCTTGACTAATCCTTTTCATTTCTGAATAGTTGTGTGAGTGGAAACATCATTTCAATACCCACGTGGGCTGTGGTTTTCTTGGCAATTATATTGGTTTTGTTTATATTTGCTGTCTGTATTTCAGTGGTATTTTTCCATGCTCCCTGGCCTGCGTTACACGTTACTCCTCAAAGTAACCGAGACAGAGCCATTGCTTTAGCTCCTTGCTGTGAAGAATTAAAAAACTTAAAAGGGAAATACAGTTGTTCACTTCCACATGTTTTGCTCTTCTGTTTTTTACAGCCACCTGAGGTGTGTAGTGCTTGTGACTCTCAGAGACATCAAGCAAGGAGAAGAACTTTTTTCTAATTACTACACTGTTGTCAACTGAATTAATGGATTCAAGACTGAAGAAATCTGTGTCATTAAAATACTTCCTGCGTGTGTACGTCAAGCTTCATGAGTGTTTTTACATAACAGAGGGCTGTAGCTTTACCATTCAGAAAGCAAGCTGCAGGCTTCTGTTCCCCTGAGAATACTCACATTTGATGCAGACGCGAAGGTTTAACTGTTTACATCAGTAGGTTCTCAGCTGTCTGCTGTTGTTGATACTAGTGCTTATTGGTATTCAGCTGTCCATGCAGTAGCTCATGAAATAAAAACCGAAGTTCTGGACATGTCAGTTAATCTTCTTGTTTTCACAGTTGTCTGGGGCTCAGTTTTAGTATTTTGCCATTTCACTTAATAGACACAGTTTGTAAAAACGACTTCCCTCTTGTGAACTGTTCCTCAGATAATCCTCGTAGTTCATGTTAGTTACTAATTCTTGTTCTGCTTTTCTTGGAGTTGGTCCCTTTAGTATCTGTGTCCTTTTAGAATGCTGAAACTTCCTGCTGCCCAGATCTTTCATGAAGCCGGTTGTGCAGCAGTGCTGATACGCGCTTCAGATGCGCCCACGTGGTGTGCTGTCATCAGGAGGCCAGCTTGGGCCGGTGGCTTTGGACGTACCTCGGACCCCTGTCCAGTCCTTGTTGCAGTGGTTCAGTGAAAGTTTCCTGGCATGTGGCAACTTTCGTAGCTCTTATTCTCGAAGAGACAGAACTTTGTGTTGCGGCGTCGCTAGGGAAACAATGCCAAGCAAGTGTGCAGTGTATTTTTTTTTTCTTGAGTTACTGGGATAAACAGAGCCAGGCGTTCCCACATTAATTCTTGCTGCTGTCTGCAGACTGCCTTCAGAAAGTAAGCAAGAGACATCTCGTCAGTCTTTGGGTCTGGCTGAACAGCTTGGACAAGAAAAATCATCCCAGTGCTTTGTGCAAAAGTCCAAGCAAGCCTCCCAGTGAATTTGTGGTTGGCATAAGCTCATGAGAATGGAGGAGCCGGGAAGTGGTGTGCTCTGACGAGCCTGGTAGCGGCTGGGGGGGGCGGGGTGCCTGTCAGAATGTGGAGTTTTTCAGTGTCTTTGTTAGTTGGTCGCTTTCCAAACCCAAACCTTGTCTTTCATACTCATCTGGGAGTCCTCCTCAGCCAGAGAAGGCTGGCTTTCTTGGGAAGAGTGAAGTAGCAGAGCTATGAGATGGTGGCATGTGGCCCAGCGTGCGTTGTACAGGTGTTACGAAGATGCTGGGGACAACTTCTGGTGACGGTCCTTGTGTCTTCACCGCGTGGTGACAGATCAGAGCAGGCAGCGGTCTGCAGTCTGCTGGAGAGGACGCTCGCCCACCGTCGCTCTGAGGATCCCTTCCCTCCCGAGCTGGGCCTCATCCAGCGCTCTCGGGGAGGGGGTTGCTGGGCACCGCCGGGTCTCCAGAGAGGAGGCTGGCTGTCGGGGCCCGGCGATGTTGCTTAGCCCGGCAGCTCGGGCTGTCGGGGCGGGGGGAATAGTTGCCTTGGCGCGTCAGAACCGCCGGGTGCTCCTGTTCGTGTTCTCCAGGCTGAGATGCTGTCGTGCGAGGGCATAGACCTCTTCAGCTGTCTCGTTACACACTTGTTAATCCTTCTTAAATGACCAGATTTGAAAGCATACTCCTGTCTGAGGACTGTGGAACTTAGGTTTACAACTCGTGTGTTGAGAGAGGTTTGTTTTGCGGCGCTCGCTGCCTCCTGGGCGCCAGTGTTGCCCGGCAGTGGGGGACTGCAGTGCCGAAGTGCAGGCTGCCTGTCACTGGCCGGGTGCATGGGACTGGCTTCTCCCTGCTGAAGTACTGGAACCCGACAGCCTGCCTCGGGTGCTGCTTGTGCACCAGGGACAGCAGCACCTGGCCTGCCGATGTCTGGCTGCTGGTGCATACAGAAAGCAAAAAAGTGGCAGGAGGAGGAGGAGGAGGTGCAGTCAGGTGGTACTTCAGAGCAAGAAGCAGCACAGCTTGGGGACTGATGGGGAGAAAAGAAAACAGATGAGTAGAAACAACGGTGTGGCTGCAGCCTACGGAAGGGCTTCAGGGGCATCAGACTTTTCCTTGTCGTCTCTGGATTCCCGTCCCTTTGCTAAAGGTGCCAGCTGTTCTTGTTCCGTGTGTGCCCATGCGTTACCACCCAGCTGACACCCCAGTGCCCGAGAGGCGGATGCATTCTGATGTTACTTCAGAGGTAACGCGTAGCTGATAATAACCCAGGGGAGTCCTCTACCCAGTCTGTTCATGGGCTGTTAACAGTAGTAAGCTACTTGTTGCAGTAAGTACAGTCTCTCTCTTGGAAGATGATTTGCCTGGGTGATTTTCATTGAAATTCCCTGAAAACAGGGACTCACTTAGCCAACTCTGTGTCTAAATGCCTGTGCACTTGGTGGTGGAACAGGGAAGGGAGCATCCAACTTCAAGGTAGTTTCAATTACTGACAGAGCAGATCCGCATCCTTCTCCCAGATGCGGGCCCATAGCCTGCGTGTGTTGGAAACTGCACCGATTCAGGAGATGATTTGTACGTCGAAGCCTGTTGCCAGCCACAGTGCGCTGGCTGGGATCCTGGGTGAGGACCACCAATGGCTTCGTCTGGCCTGGCGGGGAAGGAGCCGGCCTCCCCCTCAGCAGCCCTGCGGAGCTGTGCTTTGTGTTGGTGGTGAGAAGGGCGCTGGTCGCATGGCCACGTTCTGCCACCGAGCAGGGCTCACACCACGCCCGGGGTGCTTCTCCGAGCACTCGGCCCCAAAGGCCAGCATCCTTTATCTCGACCCACAAGACCTTATCTTGTTTTCTGCCCCTGTCCTGCCGAGGAGGGCAGTGGTAGAGCGGCTTGGTGGGCATCTGGGCCCAGCCATGGTCAGCCCACCTCACCAGCGTAAGAGCAAAACGGGGAGCACGTGGGGAAAACGGGAAGGTTCACCACTGCACGGGGAGGTTTAGGCTTGTTTCTCCTGGGTTTGTCTGAACTCCTCACCCCTGGAGGGGGTCAGGCTGAGCAGCTGAGCAGGCTGGGCAGAATCCGTGTGCCTCCCCAGCAGGGGTGGGAGGATGGAGCCCTTGACGCTAGGGTGTTGATTTGGGGATGCCGAGGGCCAGCTGCTGCTGTTTGGGTGGTGAAATCAGATTTTGGAATAAATTAGGTGATTGCACCAAGGGACACCCAGCTGGTGTCACCAGGCTATTCTGAAGAAAACGGGTGTACAAGGCTCTGACTTGCAATTTCTTAGCTCAAAAGGTGAAGCTGGTGGTAACAGTCGACTAATTCTCCTGGAGATTAAGCTGCTGTCTGTAATCCCTGTTGATTCGGGATGGCAGGCAGACAGAAGTGCTCGAAAGATCAAGAGATGAGTTAACAAACTTCACAGGGGTGCTGCAGAGTCCCAGAAAGGACAGAGAGATGGCCCACAGCAGAAAGGGGATGTGTCTGCAGGGGTGAGGAGCTGCGTGGGCTCAGCACAAGAATCAGGAATTCATTTTAAAAAAAGCGATTCTTAATCAAGCTACTGAAGTGCTTGGTAATCAAGATTCCCAAGTATCACCAGTCTGATTTAGAGCAGGTGGACATGAGATGGCCTGTGTCAGCTTTCCCAGTCAGCACACCTGTGTTTGAGATGCTGGCCCACACAGGGAGTCCACCCAGAAGGGCTGGGGGATCGGTGGCAGCTGAGAAGCCACCCTTCCCTCAGGGCTTTGTTCTCAGAGACGTTTTCTCTGTCACTGCTGCTTGTGGCCGTGGGGAGTGCGATCAAGGTAAACATCCCTGTGGCGCTTCCGATTTGGAAGGACTGATGATGAGTTTGTCAGGCACTGCAAAAATACAGCCTGTTAAACTACTGAAGGGTACGTGTGTGTTTGTATATAGTCATAAACGTGTCATACATGCATACACACAACAAACACAAGTGTACGCGTGTCTGAGTGGGACTGGTGTAGGGGCTATGTTTCCCCGGGCAGCTCCTGCGGCACTCTGGTAGGAGGAGAGGAGGTGTGAGTGTGCATACGTGCTGCTGCTCGTCCGTCCCTCTCGCCTGTGCTCAGAGCCACCATCCCCTTGCTGGGTGTTGTGAAGCCACGCTCTACCACACCCTGGTTTTATACAGAAAGGTGATGCTGTACCGGCCCAACAGCTCCCCAGCTGCGCGCTCCTTCCCCGTGCCGGCTGTGGAGCTCAGCGAGCGGCATGGAAAAGCTGGCCCCCTCTGGTAGCCGAGGGACGGGGTTTGCTGGGAGCGCTACACTACTCTTCCCTGCCACGAGGGAAGAGAAATGCAAGAACTGGTAAAAAGCATCCTAGCAAACCGGTCGCTGGGGTCTCACTTCCAGTCTTCGGTGCCTTGCGCTTTGTGGACAGAACAGGTATGAGGGCACCAAACGGCCAAGCACCACCAGGACTTCAGGGGCTGCTCATCTTAATGGCAGAAGCAGATGTGTCCCAGGATTAATTACTTACATTTCTGTTACAGTAACGACAGAGTTGGGGTGAGAGCTTTACATCATATACGCGTACACTAGTTAAAACCATTTTTAAGCGTCCAGCATCGCAAGGCTAACAATCAGTTGCATCAGAACAAGAAAGGACTAGATGGAGTCGTCATGATTTGTGCTAATGACATTGATCTTTACGCTAACCAGCCAGAAAAGAGGAGGTGCAGCTTGTCACCGCAGTTTTGGACAGGTGTTTTGTTCTGCACCTTGCATCACTTCTCTCACATCTCTTCATCGGGGGAAGAAAAGCTCGTTACATTACTTGGCAAATTACAACTTCTGCTCTTCAGAATTGTATCAGCGTGCACTCCTATCGAATTAAAAATTAAATAATCCATTTCTTTACCCGAAGCTCTACTGCGCCAGCCACTGCAAAAGCAAGCACGCTGGGCCTAGGAAGGCACAGCACCAGCTAATTCTGCCCTGTGACAGAATTGGTGTGCGAGATCTTGGAAGTAATACAGTGCTTTCCAGAGTCCAAGATTGGTGTTCGTTTTCTTGAGGGAAAGGAAAATGAAGAGCAAAAGCACTTCAAATAATGTAACTGCAGCATTAAGGCCCCAGCTGAGTAAAATTTTTTTGTTCACACCTGTAATCTAGCTTGACGTGAACTCAAGGATCTGGTGAAGTGTTCGTACACCGGAGAATCGGAGTGTGTTCCCCACAGCTCACCACGTAGTGTGAATACCGGGTTATACAGCTGCGGCGCGCTACTCTGAAGCTACATTTGGGTCCCATCTAAGATTTTGCTACACTGAAGCCATCATGTTTTAATGTTCAAGGGAAATCGTTACTTACTGCTTCACCTGCATTGCTGCAATGCTGCGTTTTTTTTCACTCTTTTCTATGTAACATTAGGTAGCGTGGTAGCATGAGTTCTTAAAATGCCTTCGGAGTTCTTAAAATGCCTTCACTTACTGCTAAACATTTCTGAAAATGTAGTAGCAAACATAGTGCAGATGCACGAAAAGCTTTACAAGTAAAGAAAGGTTTCCAGACGTTTATTTCTGGAACTGTACACCAGGTATTAAAGTACAACAAATACAAAATAATGCTCAAAAAAAATCAGTGTTTATGTACAAATATTAAAACCAATGCAACAATAGCGACTTCCTCTTGAACACCTGATACTAAAACATGTTCCGATTGTCACTAGATTTGTTGTTATGCACAGAGTACTTACTTTGAACTGAGAATAACTGGAATCTCTGTTTTATTAGGAGGACTATAACCATTCCTACTGTATTTTACAATCGATAGTATCTTCCTTCTTCTTTCTTTCAATGAAAAATAGGAATAAAAAAAATAGTAACCTTGTCATTATTTTATAAATTACTGTATTTAGTTTCCCTGTCTGTAGACAATGTGCTTGTAACGCTGGGCAAATAGTGTCCCTGTTGGTCAGTTTATCCATTAGTTTACATTCAAAGCTGAAATATTCACTAGACTTTGGTTAAATTAAGTAGTATCACTTATGTTCTACTCAATCTGAAGCATTCCTATATTTTTGACCCTCAGTTTTAAAAATTAAAAACAGGAAACAATTGCACAATTCATTGACCTAATTGTACACAATTTAGTATTCTTCAAACAGTATTGTACAACCTTCAAGTAAATTCGGCAGTTTGACCATGACAAGAGGAAAACTAAACATTAAAAAACCTAGTGTGAGAAGATGGCGTATGACTAACCAAAGTAAAAGTATTGCTATAATCACAGCACCAGTTACACTTCTAAATGAATCAGCTATCCTCTTCAGATTCCCTCTACATAAAAAGGATACATTTACCAACACTGCAAATTGCCCATTATGGATTTTTTGGTTTGTCTGTATGAAGAAAAAGCGTGGCAAGGGACAAAGAATTCATCACAGTTTGTTATAAGAATTGTGCTTCCCCGTCTAAGAACCAAGGCAATGTATTTTCTTCATATGGTTGCAATTCAGTTATCTTCATGCTGACTTTCAAAACGCAATTCTTTTAATAAACAGTAACAAGTTCTCCATTTAAATGCTTAAACTGAGAGAAAAATAAGTAAGTCCAGCTTTTAAAAGTAAAGTTCAATAAATAGCTATTTTACATGGATAAAGTCATAGTGGTACAAATTTATGTCACATCAAGCATGCACAAAAATGTTACTATACACAGAAGTAGTCAGAAAATATTGAAATAGATATCTAAAAAGATATGAAGAATTTACATATTTACAAAATCTTGCAAATTATTGCCTTATTTTAACATGGAATTAAAAGTAAACGATACCAGCTAGCTAGCCAACAGGCTAAATACGATCAGCATTTAAAAAATCTATTAGACTAGCCGGAATTCATTTTTCTCTCATATCATTTTCTGAATTTTGGTCAAAAGTCTTTATTAAATAACTAAAGTGTCCATTCAACTTGCTGACCACCCAAACCTTAGACAAGTCTGTCTACATTAAGAGCCCAGCAATGCATAGATAAACTGAATATATTACTGCATCAGCTAATGAGAATGGGCATGTTCATTTAAGTGCAACTGGCATAAGCATTCAGTCATCTTTGTATAATGATTTTTATACAGACCAGCCACTCACTGTAAACCCATAGATCAACTTGAATGTATAAGAATGGAGGATTATGGCCAGTATTTTACAAAATTACATAAAATGTGTTGATTCATAAACAAAAGAAACAAGGTACAAAGTTCAGCACAAAACACAGCAACAAGAAGCTGACAGCTCGGCTAGAAATGTCAGAGTACAACACAAGGCCAAGGCTACCCGTTATTTACTGTGCACTTACTAAAGTTACGTATTTCAGATGTGGAAGTTACAAACTGGTTACAAAATTATCTCTACTTTTGTCCACTGTTCTAAACTAATTTGTTTTTGATACGGTAAATGTGCTGTTGTGTAAATACTTCAAAGCAATCTTCATTACAACGCTGTAAAGAAAACTCCGTACGCTGCATCCAAAACTCAGGATGTCAATGCAGTTCACAGTATGCATAATAAATACCCTCTTCCCTTTCAAATATTAAAGTCACTACTTTCTACTTACTCAGCATAACCTTGAAGCAACTATTACAAATACCAGCAACGCAAACTTAATCACTTGGATAACGAAAACAAAACAGTGGCAATTAAATTTATCATACAAACAGTGCAAAGAAAAAGTACGGAGGGAAAGGGGTAATCCTATTGAAGTAAGGTTCAGATTCCCATTAAAAAAACCTGCAAGCTGTATGCAACAACAACATGTCACAATCCAGTACTACGTTTGGTTTCACTCCCCCGCAGGAACCAGAACATGTTCAAGACAGACTTTCTGGATGGCTAAATTGCACTCAAAGTTCAAAATAAAAAATTTACTGAAGTTAAATAGTTGCTTTTATGGCAAACATTTTTACTCATCCTTTCCTATTCGACCAAGGTGGTGAAGTGCCATTTTTGAGCCAATGACTTGCCAAAACAAGTAAATGCAATCCACACTAGAGAAAAACTTTCAAATACATACTTCAAGGTTCTACTCTTCCTATACAAACTAGACAGTCCCTCAAAACTATAACACTTTGAACTGCACTGCTCCAAACAATTTAAGATGTCTTCCAAATGTAGGCGGTTTGTTTAGTGGTAAATCCTAAGCTGTGCAGACTGTAGCTTTATACAACTCATCTGCCTTAGGAAAGTCAAGGTACACGATTACATTACTCCTCAAAGTTGTGGACAACACTCATCTGAATAAAATATAGCCTAAAACACGTCAGTTTAAGCCACTAAGTAAGTTTAGAGTACAGAGACATCTCCGGCAGCGTACTTACTTCTGTATAAGGTAGCCATGGCCTATAACTTTGCCACACCATCGAAGTGCAGGTCTTCACACTTTACTCACGTTAAGTCCCTTGTGCTAGCTTCCAAGATGAACTTGCTGTTTTGTAAACTGAAGTGCTCTAGTTTAGTATCACATGAGAGAAGGTTCTATTCAAAAAACATCCTTGTATGTTTGTGCAGTTTAAATTAAAGAAACCCATCCCTGCCTTATTAAGAAAAAAAAAAAATAAATGCTACATTGAGCAGGGATCAGGATTGGTACCTGTAAACATTGTTATTCCACTGCATCCGTGACGGCAAAAGTAACTTAGACTGAAAAGCCACTCCAATCCATTCAGAACTTCTGTGCTGGTTTTGAAATGGTGGCCTCCATCTACAGGCTTTAAAAAAAAATTGAAGCAGAGCTTAAAGCTGCACCACAGAGTTCTCTTAGTCCCAAACAATGCCGAACATCCTATGACATTTCCACATTTATGGACTGAAAAAAGAAATTACTCTTGATAAATCAAGATATAGTTCTATACATACAAAGACATCACTGATGTCATAAAGTTCAAACTTCCAGTGAAAGACTAAGCAAACCTGACAGCTGCCATCAAGTTTACTACTACTGCATAAAGTACCCACTGTTTGTTTAGTTTTCCACAGTCATTCTGAGTGAAGGGCAGCATGTTGGTGAAGACTGTGGGTACTGATAAAACCATTTGTCTCATTTGCAGATAGACTGCCGAAGTCAGCCACCGAAACAGCCATTTTGGCACTGGTAATATGGTGTGTGTGGTTCTCAAAGTCCACACCAAGGTTATTTACAGAGACATCATTCATGAAAGATTCTGGGACAGCAATCCCCATTTTCAATCTTTTCGCAGGTCTTTCTGTCTCCTCACTGCACATGTTCATTGGGTTTAGCTCTGAATGATAAAAGCCAGTCTCAAATAAATTAAAACAATCACTTTCACCATTGCTAGGCAAGTTAAGCAATTCTTCTGTTCCAACAGGCACATGATTAACCGGCGCTCGGGGTAAGCTGTCCATGGGAGGAAAGGCGTCATCCAGGCAGTTCACGTCCGAAGTGTGGCAGACTGTAGCTACACTATTTGTCAATGCTGGAAAACAGATGAACACAAATGCAAATGAAACAGTTGTTCGCATAGTTACAACAAGAAGATTTTTTTTTCCCTTGATTTACCTGTCAGCTCATTGGCAGTGATAGAGTTCAGAATGCTTAGCTGTTGATCAGGAATGGTTTCTGTTCGACTGTTAGATGTTAAGGCTGAAGAATGCACTGCTCCACCAAGGGCTTCTGCTTCATCTACCAAACGATCCATGTAGTCCCTAAAGTAACATGGCATTCATAATGTATTATTTAACTGGAAAACAGGGCCTAAAAATGATGATGGATTTAGTTTCAGTTGCCATAGCCACTGCAGCATTACACTGCAAGACAGCAGGAAAAAAGATACAATCTTCTACATTTACAATTTGCAACAGAAAACACATTCCAAGAACATTTTACTTACGTAACTCCTGGATGATGGTTGTATCTCTTCTTTCCAAATCTTGTTTGCTGAGCAAAGTAATCATATCGTTCTGACTTTTTCCACATGTAATAGAAAGCCACACACTCAGCAACTGTTCTGGTTCTTACCTAAAAGGAGAAGAATTGACAAGATTAATGCAAAGACTTGCGTCTTGTCACCTCCTCAACTCCCATTCCTGCAATGCTGTTAGCTTTATTGTTCTAGTGTTGGGAACAAACCAAGTAAATTAGGAGACTTCAGAGAGACCTACAGTTTCAAGTAAGTATTACATTTGTTCTATTGTACACACTATTGGCTTTTTAAAAACTAGATTGAAACTGTATCTACATCTGAAGCACTTTTATATACAAATACATGTAGCAGTTTTTTAAACTATAAGATAGACTCTCTCTTAAGATGAAAAAAGCTGAGCAAATCAATGACCTAAGAGAAGTGAAGCAGAAAAGACTCAGGGTACTTATTCCTCTTGGGAAAGTCCAGAACTGTGGAGGCTTTGACAACAGATAATCGCAACAGTAAATGCTTAAACAGCAGCATAGAACTGTAATCTTTTTGAGAAGGTATAAAGGACTCCAAAGACTTTTTTTTGGTCTATGTTTACTGTTTGTCTGTTTCCTGAAAATTAAGATTACTATGTGAAGCCAGATTCTTGGAGAAAAAGTCATTACTTCTACCTGTCTAAACTACATCCATCTTTAGATGCAGAAACACTTCACATCATCATCAGCCCCCAGTTACAGTTAAAGTTTTACAACTCTATCCAGATACAGGCTGGCAGTAAACTATACTTCAGCTTAATCAAACTTACAGAAACATCAGTGGCAAACCCAAAATGCCTTGGATGTAGTAGTAAAGCTTGCTAATTTAGACACAAACACACCACGCAGGGAAGGAAACGAACCGATGTCCACATGCTAGTATATAAAGTCCCAGTTAACACCACTTTGCAGTACAGGGATAAGGAAACATCTTGTTAAACTTCTCCATGCACTAAATCTTGTCAAGCTGATACTTTCCATATACAAATGACATCAGCTTATGCTGGGTCCCAGAACCTTCCCTAAACTTTATGGCATTTTACGTACTTGGAAAAAAACCCAGTGGATTTCTTAGACAAATTCTGGTACATAGTGACAGATACATCAACCCACATGCTCTGTTGCATGTTGGAAAAAATATTTTTTAAGGTCCATTTAAAATCTGAACCATTCAAATATTATTTAGGATGGATTAAACCAGGTATTGAGCAGGACTAGCTCACTGTTGTTGAACAGAACCACAAACCTAACAAGTTCATCTGAAATACAAAAAACCCACCAGACTCCTAAAGAAAAAAACCTTCAAGGTGGTATTGAAGCATAAAGGAGATGTGTAGAAAATTTGGAAACATCCATATAGTCAACAGTTGCTTTTTCATTAAAGAAAAAAAAAATTCCTATTCTTCAGGCACAGAGGAGTTAATCAGAAGCAATACAGATCAAGATCAGAACTCCTTCATTGGCCAGAAAACTGAGTACTGATGGATGACTACACTTTCTGAAAACACAAAGACCTAAGCCTGTTTCCATAAACTTACACCTTCCTGGCGACAAAACCAAGTTAAGTAAAGATGCATTCCCATCTCCCCCAGCCACAGTATGGAAACACTGTACTTCTAGGACAGGCACACATTTAAACTAAATTTTCAATATAAATGCATAAATGGAATTAATGTCAACATGAGTCAATTTACAGAGATAATACGTTGACTCATCCTGCAATGCCTAGCTTTTCCAAGGACATCTGAGGGAAAACTAGAACAAAAATGCCAAGCTGGCTTTAATATGTTGGTTTTTCTTTCAGTCTTCCGCAAGGCTTTTGACAAGTGTACTGCTTTTACAGATTTGCAGCACCATATCATCTACCAATTCTTCCATTTAACTGTAAAATACTAACCTTGTTCTTCTGTATAAGATGAAAGTCTTTTCCATAAATCAGAAGTGCATGTTCAAAGCTTCTGCATTCTTCTTCTGTCCATGCTGTCATCTCTTCTAGACAATTACAAAAATAGGCATGATAAACTTAATTTCACTCACTAACCTTTTACAAAGAATAAAATATTTGTTGGTAACAGATGAATATCCAAGTGCATTCTAAAAAAAACACGTTATTTAGATACGTGTTTTTTCCTCTACTGTACAGATATCTGACAAGAAATCTAACATTCTTCTTTATAAAGACTCTTTTATAAAAGAGTTTGATTTCTGAAATCCTTTATCCTTGAGGGCAAGGGACATTCGAAGGATGTGATTTGTTATTTCTCAATAAGTTTGTTACCAAAAAGATCAAAGCTTGATAACATCACCGAGGCACCAGTGTGATCATTTCTCTGAGTATTTCTTCTCACACAGGATACAGAGAACAGTCGCTGTTGGAAAAAAAGAGTTGAAGGAACAACGTGTTGTGATGGATGCCCCTACTCTGACTGAGCGAGCAGTACTTTAAGGCATTACCGACAAGAAAGCCTGACTGAGATCAGCCCTGCTGTGCAAACCGTGAGAACTGTGCTAGGCCATATCTTCTCAGGAACTAAGCAGTCTAGGCCATGTCTTACCAGGAGCTAACAGTACCAGCCTGAGCTGGGAACAGACAGAACTGACACTGCTGCAGGGGCACACCAGCACGTACACCGACCGGGGGCCTGACTACAGGTCAGTCACTTCACGGTATAAATACCTGGAGCCCCCCCAAGCTCACTGAGCTCTCCTGCGTGGTGGCGGGCTGCACAGAGGCCATCTCCCTGTGAGCAGGGAAGGGACACCTCTCACGGTTACCCTTCAGCATTGAGACACCCGAAGCCAGCACCCGATGGTTGTAACATGGAGAGTGACATTCTACATTAAGCGTAAAGTATGTTGTACGCTAGTGACTTCTAAATATCTCAAGTTATAGCTTAATTATCAGGATTGTAGTAAGTAGTACAGTGTTTGACCAACACCTAATTATCAATTAACTATTGGTAAATCATTATTGCTTAATTACATTTTAATTACCAATGATCCATTAATTATAATTTGATCTTTTAATCTTAATAAAACCTTTTAGTTAACCCCATAATGATGAATTGTCTTCATAATTCACCTGTGACAAAAATTGGCATAGTCAGGAGGATGGCGGATTCAATCACTGGCTACTTATGGAGGCACAGAGTTAACCTTTCACTGAAATTTTCCGATGATTGGGTGCATAAAAAGCAGGATAATTGGAATAAAATAAAACAACATTTGAACCTTGTAAAAGGGAAACTGAAAGATGGTAAAGAGAAGGTAATAATACACAAGATGTTGAAGAGGTGTTTAGGAGCTGCGTATCAGTATAAGGAATGTGAAGAAATGAAAATGTTACAAGATGAGGTTGAACAAAGAAAGCGAGAAGAAATGCTGTTACCTCTGCGAATAGACCAGTTGCTTTAACAACTGGTGGGGGGAAAGGAAAATGCAGGAAGGTAAAGGATAAACTAGAACTCATGATAATTCAAGCCCCCAGCGTCCAGAGGTCCTGTAAAAATTCAGAAGCTAATCATTTCCCCAGAAGATTGGGACAGAGATACTTAGGAGGACCCCAATGAAGAACTTAAGAGATAAGAGTGAATTTGATTAATTTTATTTATCATTAAAACTGAGGTATGTGCCGGACCTCCAGGGGACAACCAGACAAATACCATAAGAACACTCCATGGGAGTGGAGACCGCTTTGTTTCTGCAACTTGCCAATCTGCATGAAAAATACGGGTGGAAGCCTGGCGAAAGCAAGGCGGAGTACCTCTCTGGCACGTCTCCTTAACTGGAGGAGATCGCATGATGTTAGATCAGGATGGCCTTCGGGGACCAGCAGTGCTCCTGAACAAGGGACCACCCCCTAACACTGAACCACACTCTATTACCCACCAAGTATCGTACTGGGCAGGGGGCCCTCAGGACAGAGGGGAGCCCACTGCTATACCAGTAAGGTCATTAAGTGAACATTTTACTGCCATTACAAAAGCAGCCTGCCTTCAGGCTACAAACAACAGGTGCACATGGTGATCACCCTATCTCTGCCCCTGTAGACCCTAAAGCCACAAAACCACTAATACGGGGAACCCCAGCTGTTCTAAAATTGTACCTCCTTGCAAAAAAGGGATGAAGAAAGACAAAACATAGAACATAACACTCAGGAGGGCCAAGATGGCCAACCCCGCACTCGATCCATCCCGACCTGGGCAGACTTGATGTGCAGCATTGTAAATCACAGTTGAGAAACAGGCTGGGATGAACCACCACCAGCAGGGCGATCCCAAGCTGACACAGACAGCAGACAGATGCAGCACGTAATACAGACTTGTCAGAATCCCCAACACTTTCCCCAATATCATAAACCCTGTGGTGAGGTAGTGGACCCCAGGAAAAGGCACAATGAACCATGGAGGAAGGCTTTAGTGTCAGGCATACCTCACGCAGTCATACGGGGCCAGCCAACTGGGACTATATTTTTATCCAGGCTTTTGAAAAACAAGGGGTATCAGGGAATCTGGAACAAACCAAACAACTATCTGCTCCTGAAGACCCCACAAATAACCCTTTCAGGCTTCTTAAGGAGGAACTGCAAATCCCTTGGGTTTTTTTTCCCCAGAAAGATTAAACCTGCAGTTTCTAAAACTGAATTTTAGTTTTATGAACAACAACAACAAAAAAATCACTAAAAAAAGAGTAAGACTTTTGAAACAAAGTAGCTCAAGCTATTTGAATAGGTCAGTTTTGTCTCAAGTATCATTGCTTTCCTATCTTGATTATGGCTTTGGGTCTATATACAACTAAGAAGGGATATTTCAGGCATCTTACATTCATAATGGGGATCCAAAAAGTTTCTGTTCAGCTAACATTTAAAGACACTGGAGGGAAAAAAACACATTTCAAAACATTTCTGGAAGCAGACATTGGAACCAAGACCTTTCTGGTCCCAGATGAAGGCGATAATCACTCCACTTCAAGGCCTTATTCTTTCTTTCTTTCTCACCTCATTAATTTTGCACCCCATACTACAGAGTTATCAAGCTTCAAAGAGAAGAGAAGATCCCCATGTAAAGTTTCACTGCTAAGAAATCATCTTGGGAGCAGTGGATTTTTAATTCTCATCTTAAGAATAGCAGTGAACTTCAGTGGGTAGAGTAGATCATAGCATAATGGTTACTCTATGAGATGGGCACTGACGGTATCATCGTCCTTTACCATTTTTAATGAGCCTCTAGTAAGTTCCACCCAACTTGAGGCAAGGGTGGGGAGTGCAAGTACTAGTCCTTAGGATAGCCTTTTGGGCTCTGAACCACAAATGGGTAGAGGTATTTTTCAATTCCAAAACAGGAATCTAAATCCTAGAGAGGTGTGGGATTTAGGATACAACCCTGCAACTGATACTTCCTTACTGTTTTGGTCTACGCAATCTCTTCTTGTACATGAGCTTTATGAAGCACTGCTCTGACAGTCCTTATTGTCCCCTTCAGCTTTATGTTAGATACTTAGCTTTCACAGCACCTAACTTGTAAACACTCAAGTTCCCTTCAGATCCAGCTCTGAATAGGGACTATCTGCCAGAATATCAACTTATACCAGTGCTCATACTCCATTTCTGCTTTATGCAACACCTACGTTACAATACAGGACAATGAACTGTCTTTGCTAAACGATAAACTCTGATTTTCATTTCAGGGAGTAATAAAGTTAGGGACAAACAAGATGGAAGCTTGTTTTCCACTGCAAACGTGAGTGAGGCTCTCCACGCTCTACCAAAGACCTGTGGAACTGTATGGTAGAAGCAGTTTAGGGTTGGCATATCACAACATTAGTATACCAAGGAAGAGAGTGGGGCTAATTTACATAGCCAGCTATATTCTCCTGATTTTGGTATAAATGTCATCAGATTATAATTGATTATGATCGCAAACAGTACTGCAATGTGTGTGAGAACTGCCTTATGGAAGCAAAATCACCGCTCTGCCCACCCCTCTCCTCAGTCTGTGCCATTTTTACAACAGCCAGTGGAGGAAAGAAGGGAAGGCGAAAAGCTGATCCTCAACCTCTATAAAAGCTGTAAAATTCTCTAGCAGGAATTTTCAACTGGCCAATGGTCAGATTATACTTAATCTGTGCTAAAGACATCACAGAAAAGGATGTGCTCATTAATCTGATTCTTACTGAAGGTTTTTCTACACAACTTTATTTTTTTTTTCCCAAACACACATTTCTGAAAAACCAGGTACTCTCTCTTACCCTGAGATGCCTTTCCATTCAAGCAGTATCTCTCAACTGCTTCTTTAATGTTATGGCTACTTTTAAGAAGCTCATACAGCGCCTAGAAAACAGAAGAAATCTTTATTAAAAGTTTGCAAATATCCAATCTCGACGTCCAAGACTAGCCTTTCAGTGAGCATATTTAACGTAAAAAAAGAGGATTTATCCTTACACATGATGAAATTATAAAAATAACAACCAAAAGCAAAACTATCCAGAAGCTGAGGCAAGGTTTAATTAAGAAAATGTAAAACATTCTATGCAATTATGAAAACAGCAGGACTTGTCAACAGCATGGCAATCAGAAACATCACAGGTCACAACATCACCAGTACTCAAGTACTCATAATTTTAAGCATGGCTTAAAATTACAAATAAGATCCCGACCCCAATAACATCTAGTTACAAAGAATAAAGAATTTGAATATTGCTGCCTTCATAATACAAGACAGCGAAAGAGAACACATTAATTACAAAGCAATGTGTCACAAACGGAACCACATATAAAACATACTTGTTCATTGTCCCGTGTATGCAGTCCTTCAGGAATTCTGCCAATCATTTTTTCATTTCCTGTTCTTAAGGAAGTTTCAAAAAGGTATTCTTTAACTTTACTTTCTGAGATCACATCAGGTTTCCAAAGTAAATGGTCTTCATTTTCATAGGCTGTCAAAACAGAAATCCATTAATGCCAGGTGTGACATTATTAAGGCTGCAACATTAAAAGCTATTTCACCAAGACAAAGAACAGGAACACAGAAGTAATCAAATCAAGCACCATCATGCCACCTGCAAATTGCAGCTCGCTTTTTCCCCAAAAGCCTGTTAAGAGACAGACCCTGCAGCATGACATGGCAAAGAGATTCAGGTTCCATGAGGATGAGCTAGGGGACTGAACTCTTGAGACAAAGAGTCTTTACAGAGGAACAGCTACTGACAGCTAGATAATTCCAGTCAAACTATGCATATATATTCATCATCTTCATACAAACTAGGAAAACCATTCACAGTTTTATTCAGCTGTTTTAAAAAAATAAACTATAGTTTACAGTAAAAGAGTGTAGGATATTACTTTAATATTTCAAATGTTACAAGTAAAAAAAAAATAGGAGGTGGCTAACTGGTAATTCTCAACCAAAACTTGCCAAAAATTACTTAACAGAATGGAAATCTAGGCCTCAATGTGGTAATTTGTTTTTCAGTTCATTAACAACTGAATGCTGTTAAGAACTTGCATGCTGCATACTTTACAAGCAATCAGGATGTACAGTCATCCTTCATAGTACACTGAAATCGCGTTTGCACCTCTTAAGTAGCTTTTTTGAAAGACAATATATTGGAAATACACAAGAGTCAACTGAACCTTTGTCAGTTTGTGCACGTTTCAATTCTAGATTAAAGTATAAATCCTTTACTCTGATCAATAGATGTGATTAACATGGCACATAATGTTTCACATACTCTCCTGGCGATACAAAATTAGAGAGTTACTCAATTCAAACACGCAAGCTTAATGACTGTTACAGTAGAAGAGAAGAAGGTTCTCAAATCTCTCATAAAACTGCAGGAAACCACATGAAGCTAAGGTGAGGAATAAAATTACATTTCCTCTGAAAATTCTGTTATGGCTAAAGAACATGGAAAGCTTTCAAACAGACATGCTACAAGTGTAAGGTTTACAGAAGACCAGAACTGCCTTCTAGCACAATTCTAGTAGCTGGGACTACACAGCAGAAATATGAGCCCCTGTTTGCCATCACAAGCTCTTCAGAGAGTACAGAAGGGGCTTCCATAGCATCCTCCACCCCTACAGCCAGCTCCAGCCTCTCCAAGGACTGCTGACACTCAGCTTCAACCTCCTTTATCAACCAAGACAACCCCACACTTCCTCCACGACTGATAATCCCAAGAGGAGGTCCTCGGAGTCTCCGATCTGGGAGCTACTTCTTTGCTCTTGGCCAGCCAGCAGAGGAGACTCTTATAGGTTCTCCCTAGCACCAGCTTATTCCAGAGAAAGTTGTCAGATTAACTCCTTCCTGGTCATCCTGTGGTTATTGGCACTTCTCTAGTTCTTGGATGAGAAGTTAAGATATGTAAATACTACAAAGACTATTCAGATTAATCCGGTTCTTGCTCCTCCATTTCTTACAACCTGTAAGCATCATGCTTGAACCTTAAGAAAACAGGAGACTTCTCTAGGTCTCTTAAGCAGCACAAGAGATGTTCACTTGCTAATGCTTCCAGCTCCATCCATACCAAACATTCATCTTCTCTATTGCAGAGGATCATTCTCCAAAAAAGCAGCTGGTAATGGTCGAAAGACTTGATAAACTTCACTGGAATAATATTCCCATGAAATGTTACAGTTTGAACACAAGTAACTTACAGAATATTGAAAATTTACAGGAAAATAAATAGAATGACCTTTATGTATTAACATAACCTCCAAACTGTTCCTTAATTTCACAGCTGTTCCACCCAAGAGCAAATTTATTTCACTATTTTCTTTTTGAATTCCACAGCTGTATTGTGCTATACTCTTCCAATAGAGAAAGTTTCTAAAGATACAATATGAAACTCTATTAAATAAGTTCTTATCTTCTACTCTAGCACAGCTGCAGTTTTTAACCCGAATGTACACCGGAATAACATCATACTTAAAACATCGTATTTTTTTTAAAGACAGTGTATTAGGACCTACATCTTCTATCCATGCTACGGAAACTTAAAATATTTTATTGCTTTGTTTTTCATATCCATTTCATAACCCACACTGTTGTGTTTGCCAAAAAAAAGGCAAAGAAAAACACTTGTTTTGAAGATCTTCAATGTAAACTAAGTTGAGTGCTCATAGCGCAGTTATGATACTCTGATGAAAGTATCTCCTTCTTGACTCACATTTTATTGCCTCCTAATATTACTAGGTATCTCAGAATTAACATTGTAATCCACCCTCCAAAGTTGTTTTGAGAATGTCCTCTCAAAGTTGAAGAATCACACTTCTGAGATATAATTGTGTGGTTGTGCTACTTCAGCTTCCCAGTGCCTTTGTAAAAAAAAAAAAAAAGTCTCTGAGACTAACTAAGCCATTGAATTTGCCTTATAAGTTTAAATAACATTTTTCCATCAACTGCTATGTATAAACACAAAATACAAAGTAAAACACTCAGAAGAACTTACCCTTTTCGTCATTACTGTATCTGCCAAGGTAAGGTGGAATTTCCGCCTGGTACTGTGAACCAACCATTATTTCCTGAAGATGTAACAAAAATGAAAAGAGAAAGGTATTAACTTCATATTCTGTGTATGGAAGCATTAACAATGCCATTAACCTACAATTTGGCAAGGAATTCCAGAATTAAGGTACTATTTTAGATATGTACTATAAATGCTAACAACGCATTTTTCTAAAGTTTTTTTTCAAGCTTTTTTTTAAAGGTATAATTATTACCTTTCTCAAATCTTCAGATGAATTACCATTGTCTGCCTCTACGTCTTCACCATCTGATTCCTTATCTCCATCACATGTAGTGTTTGCTTCAGACACAAAGAAGTTTGGTTTTAGTTAGGAAGTATTTTCAGTTCAAACAGAGAATTACAAGATATCCTTTACTTTTGACAGGAGCACATGCTTTTATTCTGGGAGACGCTTATCATGAGTCTGTTAATCTACATTTCTATCAAACTAGTATGAAGTCAGAAGGCACTGTTACTTGTATAATGCAGAACGAAAATGTTTATTGTCACTGCAACTGAGACAATCTACTATATTTCTAACAGTCAAAAGAAATTTTTCTTAATTGATTTTCTCAATAAGTCTTGTACCTTACAGAAAAGGTATGAAAAAAAAGAAAACTTCCAGGGCCATGACTTAGCCTCAGGTTAATCACAAAGCAAGTAAAGTTGAAGGCATGTCTTTATCACCTACTACAACCTTTCATCAAAAGTTTTAATGGGCATTCAGAACATTCTTTTAAACAAGGCTGCCTCAGCATGGAGTGAAGATACAGGAGAGATGCACAAAATGGAATAAGCAGAAGACAGAAAAAGACTGCTTACTCCTCTTTAATCTTTCTTTTTTTTGTTTGTTTGTTTTTTTTTTTTCTCCTTAGGAAGAAATACAGCAGAGCTCTCCAAGCAATTCAGATACAGTACTCCACAGAAGAACTCGTATGTTAGAATCTTGAATGCTATAGTATTGGTTTCTGAAGTAATTCTATTTTTACAGCTGTATAATCCCCAGCAGAATGGAATCTACAGTTCTGATATGATTAAAGCTATTTTGTATTCTCAAACTTCAGAAGGAACATGCTTATAAATAGGGTTGAAATTCTACCTTCATCACAACTAAACAGAATCATCAACATCAGAAACAATACCAAATACTGTATGCACTGAGGCTCTTCTTCTGTAGTCATTACTACAATCACCAGCCTATCTTTTTTTGTTGTTAGAAGTAGCAAGAAGCTAACCTAAATACATGAAATAAAAATATGCCTGGATATCATAAGCAATTACTTTTTCCAATTAATACAAATTTAATAAATAGCCTATATTATGTATTAGACCTGTTTATTGTAAAACTTAACATTATCTTAGTATCTGAGAAACGGACAGAGGTCAGAGAAAAAGCTGAAACTGCCAACAGCACAGAGAACTGACATCTCCCTCCCTGAAATAGTGGATATTGTATATTAAAATGTCCAGCCAAAAGTTTAACAGAGAAAGTAACATTTGGATAGAAAACCATGATGGCTGAAAACAAAGATGACTGTTTCTTAGTCAACAGTAAGATGAGGGGCTAATAATTTTTTCTACAAATCTGCCTCACTTTCAGTATCATATTCATTAATAGTTCACAAGCAACGTTTAAGTGCCAGCAAGTTTGGGGTTTGCTTAACTGAAAAAAGGCCATTATAATTTTTAAGGGTTTTGTGTCTCTCAACACAAATGTCTTCTATTTATCACATAATCAGCAGCATGCAAATCGCTGCAATTGCTGATGACTGAGGCAGCACACCCCCTTTATCATCCCCCCGTCTCTAGAGGAATGAAATCCCCCAGAAATAGTTTAAGATACTTGACAAATTAAAACTGTGATAAAAATCCTCCACACTGCTCTAACTCTAGCAGGGCAATGAACAATGACAATGAACAAATGAGCTGCAACAGGCAATCAGGAGTATCTCGTCCAGGCTGGATAACTAAACCACTGGTTCTCAGATCTTTCCCATAACAGCTACGTGGGTAGTGAAACTTTGGTGGTCATGGGTTCATAGGCCCCATCCCATATAAAACCACTTTGGCTCACCCCATGAAGTCCTATGGAAAAGCACCAAATGCATGAAGGGGAATAATCACACGTCCCAGTTCACATCCAGAGCCTGCATGAAGGAGCCACTGGCTTAAAAAGCAGCAGCAAGAATTCTGATAGAGAAACACTCATTTAAAAGAATGGGTTACGTATTAATACAATTCACTAACGTACTGAAAATCGTGAATGGCGTTCCTCAACACCACATTAATTATGAAGTTATTGTAGAGAAATTAATTTTACTCGTGCTTTGGGCGCAGTACCAAACACAAGTCTTCTGGGTGATCAGTAATACCAACCAAAGACAACATTCATGCACAACATCCTGCAAAGCACTGTTTCTCAATTCCCAGTCAAGTCAGCACTACTCTGCAGTTTTGATTTTTTTAAGTTAAGAAAATATATATAATGCTAAGACTTCTTGAGTACTATTATAAAATTAGGTTTCCTACATCTTAATGGCCGAGGAAAGAAGTCAGTAGCCTCGTGTGAAGTAACTGATGGTGTCAAGTCATCAGCAGAGGACTGTGTTTCTTCATCATCACCCGACAAGAGGTCTTTGGCGATTTCCTCCTGTATCATTAAAATAAAAAAATAAATCCTCAGACTGACTATTAAGTATACACTAGTGAGTATTTAGATTCAGCAAATTGTGAGTCTCATTAATTAAAATGAATTATTTTACCATAAGTGAAATTAGCAGACCATGCTCCCTTAATTTAAAAGCTAGTTTGCTCCTCCCAAATCTGAGAATAGAACCGTTCATCTCGGAGTTGTAACACAGGGGTTCACTTCATTTCCCCTTTGTCTTCTATTAAATGCACAAGAAGTAACTTCTGCAAGCATCAATCTCAGATACTCTTCCAACTGCTTTCAATGAAAAATTCCAGTGGAAACTGCCTCAAATCTTTAGAATTCTGTCATTCTTTGTATCACTGATATACCGAAGCTTTAAAAGGCTGTTAAGCCAATTAACTCTGGGAGAAAAAAAACCCAGGCAGGCACTTTTTCAGACTTTTGCTGACAGGAAAGTTGCAGATAATAGACAACTTGTTATATTCACAAAACACAGAAAATCAACATTTCTGTAGGTTAAAAGAAAAAGATACTAAGAGTGAAAATGCACACTTCCTCCACTAGTGGACATGTCTGAACCTCTCTGTATAGAGGTTAGGAAGGGAAAGAACCGTATCAGACAACAAGCCGACTACATTTTCGTAGCCTCAACACAATCCTGAATCCTAATGAGAATCAGATGTGCAGAGCCATCATTATATCCTACTTTCTGTGAAGTTTACCATTACATCATACTCCCAGAAAGTAAAAAAAAAGACACATACTTACTACCCAGACTTTATAAGGAAAACTACTAGCTGCATATGCTTTATACACAAAAATCAGATTAAAATCTCAAAATTCAAAGTTAGTTGCAAATCACAAAACCTGAAATCTGAAGTTTTTCCATCAGCAATGCAACACATACAGTCACTGCACATAAAAACAATCTCTCTCTCACTCCCCACAGTTGAGACCTTTCCAAATAACATCCATTTGCAAGCAGTATTTCAAAACATTCAGGAGTGCATTTTCCAGTTGTCCACAAACGCTCTGATACTCGACATATGTGTTGGAAGCCAGAATTATTATTTCTGGAAATTGCACACATTATCAAAAAATCTCACTTCTGCTAAAAAAAAAACAACCCACCTATCTATCTTGGATGTATTTTAGAAGAACTGTTAACTTTTTCATTTCTCATTTGTAGTAATACAGTGCCACAAAAGTTGCTACGCATTTCTAAGTGTGATAATTATAATTATAATCAGATCCTCAATATCCTTGAAAAATAACTGAATTCAGAGTAATACTGTATATTGAAATTAACAAAGAAACATATTTTGCAACATCAAGAGAGAGTGAAACACAATTTAAGGCCATCAGCTTTTAAAACATAATACAGGGGAAAATGGTTCGGACTTACTTTATCTAGAGTCATATCTGGAAGTTCATCTGCAAGTTCACTTGGAGAGCTATCTGCACTGGAACCTGCCATAACTGGAATCGTGGGTTCATAGCCGTAGAATGCCAGTAAGTCTTCCAATGGCATGTTTCCTTCCTAATACAAGAAGATTTACAAACTTTTCAACATACTGCCAAATACTTGTAAACAGTTCAGGCTCAAAAGGGTAAGACGTATTTTGAAGAACAAAAACAAAAAATAAACAAAGAAAAAATCAAAAGCAGGAATCCTGATTAAAGATCTAAAATATTTTCAGGCACAGGACTGAAATAATTCATAACCATGACCCTTGGCGTACAGCAAAGTCCCATTGAAGCTACTGAAGAAAACCATTTACTGGATGAAATTTAAAAAGTAATTACTAAAAATCTGCTCCTTGTCCGATTCACACTGTAGAGCATGACTTGCCTAGACTTCTTCAAGACAGAAGATATCCTAGAAACACCAACAACCCCCCACAGGAGAGAAATGCAGAAAAACTTCCGGACTTCAGTCGTACATAGTAACACCTGCAGGTGTGGGAAAACCCACGAAAGTAAACCAATGTAGCAACTTTTAAGCCTTCCATTCCATGTCCCACACAATGTATTTTATAATGACCCTTAAGAAAGTAATAGCAGCAAGACAGCTCATGATGCAGACGGCAAAAATCAAGAGAAAGGCTTAACTTTTAACTTGTTTTTTCCAACAGCTTTTTGTCCAAGTTATTTTAGTAAGTATCATCATACTTGCATCCTAATACAACTAGTAAAACAATAAACAGTGAAAATATTGTTACCTGATTCAAGCCACCAAAATATTAAAAATATTTTCCAATATTTGTATCTTTAAAAGTTGTATTACCTTTAAAAATTTCTCGCTGGACTCATACACTGACTGAATTACTTGTTTTCTTCAGTCAGCTACGGTCTTAGTCCTGCAAAGACTTTTCACAATGGGTAAACGTAAACTCATGTCCAAGTCTTTCCAGGATTGGGACCAAAAGTCACAAAGTGTTTAAGATGCCTGGCTCTCAGTTCTTCTTCCTTCTATTATAGAAGCAATAAGATTATTTATGGTGTAACAACTCCATTTTAACTACCAGACTTGGCAAGCTGCTTTGCTACTGTAATTGCAAGTTCATAATCAGCAAAAATGTAATTGCAAAGGCAGCAGGACAAAAAAAAAAAAAAAATCAGGAGTATAAACACTGCCAACTCCACATTTAGAAAATTTGTTTTTACATGGACTATGAAAACACCGCATCGTATCTGATGCTATAAATTCCATTTTCCTGGAACTCTGTTGACCAAAGTCTGCAGTTGTGTTGAGTGGTGTAAGTGGGTCACTGAAGAGTAAAGCTAGCAGCATTTATTTGTGGGTGTTCAGAATTCAGCAGGCATTTAGAATGGGTGATGCACTGCCACAGATGACCAACAGGTGTAAATAGGAAAAACATGTAATTAAAGAGTGTAAAATCGAATAAGAAAAGCCAAGAAGCAGGCTGGTCATTTTGTATGCCCACCGAAAGCCAAGCTGATGAAACGAAGATATAGAACTACCATTTACATAGCAAACAAATGTGATCCATCACGCCTAAAACAGGACTGTTTGTTTGCATACTGGAAAAGCAAAACTTGACCAACAGAACAAAATACAGCTAGCTGTTGCTTAATAGTATGCATAATGTAGTTTCAACTTACATCTGACTTACAAAATTTAGAAGCGATAGCGATACTGGATGACAGGACCTGCTTCAGCGACTTCTCTACCGAAGTGGACTGCTAAATTAAAAAGAACATGAACCTAACACTAGTATCAGAAACCAAGTTCAGCCTTTTTGTGAGGACGTACTGCTACGCCCTAACCAAATCCGATTTTCTTTTTTTAAATGACCTGCAAAGGCCTGTTGCAGGAAAATGCATTATAGAATACAAACTGAGTAACAGCTTGAGCACTCACTAGAAAAGTTACAACATGTATGGAGATTTATGACAGAGCGAGTCACTCTTACCTTTTCTAAATCTTCAATTTCAGAGCTGAAATTTTTGCTTTCCTCCATCATTTCCTCTTCTTCGAGAGTTCGCTCATCATCATAATCATGTACCAGCATTTCAGCAGATGGGTCGAAGTCATGATCCTCAGACGATAAAGAGCCAACTATCAAAAAAACCTAATTTGAGTCATTTTTCTTCTATAGCAACATATCAAATCACATCACAGAAAAAAATACAGTTGCATGAATTCTGTTACATACAGGGTCAGAACTCTTCATGGAATAATTCGAACAAATTCCTAACTACTTGACAAATTCAGCTGTGTTAGCTGGCCTCCCCTTTTCATATTTCTGAGTAGTAGGTGCAGTTTTCTGTCCTGCAGTACAGAGCACGTGGGAGAAGGATCTAAACTACTAAAACACAGCTTCAGAAAGTACAATCCCAAATTAATATTTTACTGAATATTGTTCAAAACGTCCTTGAAATCATCATTAGGGTACAAAGCACACATATCACAGGATTTCAGATGTTGCAGGATTTCAGATCTGCAATTCAGATTTCAGTCTGTGATTTATAGACTCTGTTTAGGTGATTTATATGGTAACAAGCACAGTTTTTCACTGGTAAACAACTAACCTAGGTTATGAACTAGCTTCCTGCTCACACCAAAATAAACAGTGAGACTCGCTTCACATTAGTTTAGCCTCACAGATGGATCTGTTATTAAAACTCATTTAATTCTTAGCTCTTGATCTAGAAAGGAAGAATAAACACAGCAGTTTCAAGAAATATTGAGGAAAATCTACCAGAAATAACACAACACTTCTAATGGATCACTTTAATTTACCAACCATTGCGGTCAAACACACACTTTATCATTACTCATGAGGATACTTGTAAGTCATCAAAAAAGTGCTGTCATTAAATGCGTTTTGTCAACTGTTACAAAGGTTATCATTAGCTTCAACAAATTTTAAAGATGCAAGTATTCTGCACCGCAAAATCAGTGTTCTACAAAGAAAACCATTGAATTACAGGGTTGTTTTGCTCTTTGATGTCCCCTTTCTTACAGCTTTCAGAATGGAGAGAAGAAACAGATTAGGATATTTCTTTCACTTCTTGTTTCTCCTTCTAGTTCTTACATACTAGTGCTCTGTTGCAATCTGTTCTTACAAGCAGCAAAGGAAAGGTTTATTACGTCCTTGTAAGAATCTCTTCAGAAGTTTTGAAGAAATAGATACAAAATTTCAATCCTCTTAAAAAAAATAAAGCAGTGTTCCTCTTTGCACTGCTTCCAGCCTTGAGATAGTTGTATACAGTAACACTTCTGAGTCTCAAAGCATCTAACTCCTTTTTCAGCAATTACGCTAAGTGTTCATCCCTTTTACGCAAGTAACTAAACTTTGTCTGTTTAGCTGACTTAAGACAACACTGTGAAAGTTTGTAATACCATACCGCAGAGAAACATTCAGGCCGAAAATGCTTTTTTATTCGCATGCCACTCATATTACGGTCTCAGAGAACTTTTAGTATAGCTGGTAACACTACTCCAATTACTGTAATGACATTATATGCTGAATTTTCCCGCTGTTGGCCATCACATCCTGATCCTGTTTTATGGAACTGTCGACTTCCTAATTCTAACACGTATTTATGTATATGTGTGCTCGAGATTATTGCTTCTAACTGCTGTTCTAACTCATTTTGTTCGAGGAACTCAAGTGGAAGTTCTATTCCACTTGCAGACTTCAAATAAAAAAAGTCCCATTTTCGCAGCTCTGAATGCTCAATGTCCAGTTTAAAATACTTAAACCCATATTCAAAAATACAAGCTCGACACATTTCTTAAGAGTAGTTAAAAAAGGTAACAAACAGCCAAGGCAGAAGGCGATTACACAGAACGAAAACACATTCCCCAAACTCTTCTTTGAGAGTAACCCTGCTGATGTTAACCTTGCTTGCTCGTGTAAAGTATTCCAAAGAACCTGGACAGCATTTAAAGTCTCAAAAAATTACTTATCATCACGATTTTAAACATTTTCTGTTATTACAAAGAAGTCAAAAATTTACACAAGCCTGTAGTTATCAGCAACAACAGAAGCAATCTCTCCCCAAGCTATGCGGCTTTACTGGGATGCTGACTTATAAGTGCGACAGAACTTTGTTTTCACTTTGGGTTCTGAGCGTCCAGTTGCTGACCGCAACAGGAGCTAAGGGAAGGGCTCCACAGCGCACGTCTCCTTCACTCGGAAACCTGGCGGGCGGCTAATCGCGTGCACGCGGAGCCTCGGGAAAGCTACGAGGGGACAAACGGGAGAAGGAGCAGGAAGGAGAGAGCTGAGCGCGGGCGGCAGGCCGGGTGCCGGAGCAGGAGGTGGGCGAGGACGAACCTGGGCTCGAACTC